TKTTTYTCTYTTKWGMRRWGTKTTTTAATTCGAATCTCACGATTTACGAAACTTGCAATTTTTCAAAGCATGGTTCGAATTCGAACCATAATGCTAAAGTGCTGGCATCAGAGGGTTAAGGGCTACAGAAATAGATCCATATCCTCGGCATCAATATTGTGCACTTCAAGAAATTGTTAATTTTCTGTTTACTTTATCGTATATGAAGACCYCTTTCTYAAAACCATCCGATTTGGCAAACTYTGTACCCACGAGCAATGTATACGATATCATCATTCCTATAATAAAATAACTGCAGATCAACGATACAGCACATTTGTATTAGTAAGAGTAAAGTCATWGATCAACAATGTTATATAAAATAATAGTTATAGTACAATATAGTCAAAAGGGAACCACGTATTAGTGGCTTATGTTTATTTCACAAGTTCAATGATTTTCATCTAATATGCAGTTTCTGAAACATTGTTAAAGTTATGATTGATTATATCATGCCATGTTGAAAGTTTGTTTAATGTTATATCCCTTGTTGATATAGCAATAGAGTACTAAAGTRCCAACAACAAAAGTGTAAAATTATTATAAAAAGGTTCCTATTATAAACCTATACTTGAATATGAGATGTCATGTGTTCTATCCTGCATGTCAACCAGTCGCAGAGTTTCACCTCAGAAATAATCAAACGTTTTGACTCTGGCTTTAATTTTATATCAAAAATGTAGCTGAAATTTTTCAACAGAATTATCTCAAACAATAAAAATTTGGACTGATTAAATCATTCTTTATTTGATAAGAGCAATTTTATTTAATCAGTAAAATGAAAACTAAATGCTTACTACTTGATAGTTCATATTAGTCACTATTTTTAAGACAAATGTGAGTTCCAAAGGCCGATTTAGACGGTACAACTTTTGCCTACAACTATTGCATGCAACATGCATAAGTCATCCTTACAACATGGCTACAGCTGTCAATGCAACCGTTTGTCAATTGGTGCTATTGAATTTTCAGTGCGCGCACATGAAACAAAGTTCCACCCAAATGATTGTCAAGTCGTTCAGTTGATTGTCTATTGATACTGTTGAATGCTCGCACGTATTTGAATATCCAATTGAAAGTCGTTTCGCGCCAATGATGTTGCTTACGGTGCTCAAGAAAGTACAATAAAAGTTATTGAAGCAACGCTTGGCACAAATGAATGTACGTTTTACGCTAATGAACAGAAAAAGGTGTACATGTATTGTTGGTCTTTTATTTGTTTGTTTGTTTGTTTGTTTGTTTTTTCTTAACAAATACTAGCTAGTTGAACGGTCAAGAAAAATGTTGATTTGAATGTCGAGTAGAAAAGGTATGTATTTTTCAACATTRAATGCACACTGTAAAAACAAGATTGCATTATCATTCAAATCTCAGGTTGCACAATCGTCYCCTGAGCAGAYATAAATGGAAAACTCTTTAAATTAACACTCGCTGTTAAGCTAGTACATGAAAAAACATGCCAC